GGTCCTGGGATCAAGCCCCGCATCGGGCTCCCTGCTCAGTGGGAAGTCTGCTTCTCCCTCTCCCACTTCCCCTGCTTGTGTTCCCTCTCTTGCTGTGTCTCTCTCTGTCAAAAAATAAAAATGCCAACCAGATCACACCAGTGGCCACACCCTTTGTTGTCAGCAATAGCTGCTACCGCTCTCTAGTGTCAAGCCCAAGCTCACGCTCTCTAGGAGTCCAACTCCAAAACTTCTCCGGTCCCAAAAGGGGCTCCAGCCCCTGATCCCACCACTTGTTCACTGTCCCCACTGCCCACCCCAGCCCCTCTCCCCTTGCCCAGCGCCCATTCCATGGCCCTACTCTCGCCCTGGCCAACGCCTTCGCCGCCTCAGCCCCTCTCCTGTCCTTTTCTCTCCGGGCAATGCCAACCCAGGGCACCTCCACTGCTCTGCCTATCTTGCCTCCCTGTCCCAGCGGGCACGGCTGGTTTTCCCACCACGTGGACGGGCGTCAGGACCGTCAGCGTCTCAGTGCGGTCCAGCGACCCTACTGCCATTCTCTAGTCTGTTGGCTGTTTGTTAATTGCCTCCACCAGGCATCAGTTCTAGGCTCAGCTCTGTCACGGATCTCATGTATGCCACTGCCCCTTTCTGGGCCTCAGTTTCTCCACCTGTAGAAGTGGGATGGGATGGGGGTGAGGGAGACCAGTGCGTTTGATCAAGGGGTCCTTCAGATTCACGTGGACACTTGTTTAAAATGCAGTTCCTGGGCACCCCTCCTCCCCTGCCCCGACTCATGGTCAGTAGGCGTGGGGCTGGGAATTTGCATTTTAATAGTCCAATTTGGGGACACTTGAGTATTTGGTGATGCCTTGTCACCACCCAGAGTTTCATACATACAAACTTGTATGTCTCAATGCCAATAACACCCGCAGAGACCAAGTTGCACACCCAGACACGGCCACACGGAAGTAGGTTCCGTACACCACTAACTCCCTGGCAGGCTGCATGCCCTCTGACTCAGTCTCCCCACCCGTGTGGTGAGGTGGCTGGCCCAGATACCATCTGCATTCACAGACATCTCTGCATGCCCGTACCCAACTGCAGACACACAAACACAGATATGAAGACATGGGCAGACACACGTACCCTCAGAGATGGACCATATGCACCCACAGCTCTACGGATGCGCAGAGATGCTAACCTGGAGAGAGAGAGAGTTACAGATGCACCCGGAGACACACGCAGGCCAACACACAGACGGATACAGACAGAGACATGCAGATACTCACCCCTAAGACAAACACGGACATACATAAACACACAGACGGGCACTCACACTCCTCCTCTCCCCATTTTCCTGGCCCAGCTCCACGAGGAGAAACTCTTGGAAAAGAAAAACAATGTGAGAGCCCGAGGGGGAGGGGAGGAGGCAGGAAATCCCAGGGTGCCAGTCCGGCGCCCGCCATAGCTGCGCTGGTTATGGGGAGTGGTAGGAAGGCCCTCCGGGCTCCGTCTGCTGGGCCCTTCTGGCCGCCCCTAAGCGGACAGGGCGGCAGGGAGGGGGCCACTGCCATGTCCTCTGTGCCTCTGGGAGCCGCCAGGCCTGGCATGGGGCTCAGTGGGGTGGGGGCGGGCTCCTTCCAGGAATCGCCAGCCTGTCATGCAGGGGCAGGGCGGGTGCCACCCAGGCCCTAATGGCTTCCAGGCGCCCACCCTAAAGGCAGGGGTGGGCTCCAGACTCAGCTCCTGTTGCCCTTCCCAGCGGCCTGGCCCAGGCCCTCCTGGGGGCTGGGGGAGGAGGAAGGGGAGCAAGGGGGTAAGAGGAGCTCTGGACAGCCCTCCTGCCTTTCCTCTTGCAAGCCCAGGGTCCCCTGGAGGCTGTGTGTGCACAACGTGGGGGAAGGCGTGGGGGTCCCAAAGCTGGCTTTCTCGAGAAGCCTGCTCCCAGCACACCAGGAACCCTGCACCCTGTGTAGACTCAGGGCAGCCAGACCCTGCCTAGCAACGCCTCCCCTCACCCCCCCGGCTCCCACCCCACTCACATGACATAGCCTTGGGGACACACACACACAGCCCTAGTAACGGTCACATTCACTGAGAGTCCTGCAACACAGAAGCTCAACACAGGCTCTGGCTGCCCGGCCCGGCCCCTCCCCACCAGGCTCAGTGTCTTCTTCCCATAGGGTGTGGTGTTTTGTATGTGGGGTGGCCTCCTGATTCCCCTAGGGTGTCACCACCCCCCCCAAAGAGCAGGTTGGGGAGGGACCAGCCACCACAGGCCCCAGAGAGCCTTCCCCACCCCACCCTCCCCTCTCCTGCCTCCCACCAGCCAGACGGGTCTATTCCTGCTCTAATCCTCAGGCTTTCTGCCCAGGCTGTTCCCCCAACTCGGAATGCCCCCGCCCCCCGACTCTGAAACCCCCACCCGTCCTTCAAGCTCAGTTCTACCACCTCCAGGAAATGCCTTGATCTCCTCAGCCCCAACTGCTCCCCAGGGAGCACAGCCCTACAAACTGTCAGATCTGGCCAACTGCCCTCTCCTCTTGTAACGCACGCTTCTCTGACCCAGATGGGACACTTGTGCCATCCACCGCTTCTAGGACAGGCCTTGAATACAGGATTTGCTTAAAGCTGGCTGGTGGGGTGGCCAGCAGAAGGCTAAACCATGACCTTGCATCCCCTTAGTTGGGCAGTCCCTCCCCAGTGGGACTCAGATCTCCTGAACCCTAGTCTCACAGCCATCCTCATTGCCCCAGGCAGCTGCTGGCCCACTCTAGGACAGAAACTAGAATGTTTTGATCCCATACTTGCCTCAGGCTAGGCCCTCATCCACCTTGTCCACAGAAAGTGACCAGTGGTTCCTGCTGCTTGTGGAACTGTTTAGAAGGTCTCTCCCTCCTTCTTTCTCCATCAGCAAAATCCTACACATCCTTCAAGACCCTCTTCTGGGAAGCCTTCCCTGACTTCACACAGAGTATGTTAGTGTTCCCAAAGCACTGGCACCTCCCTGTTCTTCAGCAGTAGTCACTAGGAAATCTTGGTCTCTCTGGCTTTTAGCACAGGGCCCAGCATACAGCAGATGCTGCATAAATGCTTTCTAGGCTGATGGATAGAAGATGGACAGTTAGGGGTTCCCTAGTGAAGAAGGAGGATTGAGTGATCCTAAGGATAAGGAGTCATTTTGTGGCCAGGCTCCGAAACAGGCAGGTGTCTGAAACTGTCTGTGGCTAAGGTCAAAGCCAGAGGTCATCTCATGGCCAGGTCAGGGATCAGTCCTCTTACCCGAGGTAGCCTAAGTGGCCCACAGGAGAATAACTTTGTGTTTTGTCCTTAGCGTGTTTAGATAACTCTCAATATCCAGTGAGAGAAGTGAGCAATGCTGAAGCCTGGATGGGGGCCAGCTGAGGGGTTTGGGGGTCGCCCGTTGGCCCAACTCTTCCCTCAAACTCAGAAACCCCCTATGTCCTTCCAGAACCTTTCAGGTGGCGCTCTGGAGCTGCCCATGGCCACAGGCCTGGCTGTGGGCAGGGAGCAGAGCCCAGCAGGAAACCACAGAGGACAGCCTGATTGGATAAATGCAGGGTCCAAGGCTGGTCAGCCCACAAACTGCGGGCACCTGTCCTTTGGACGTGCTGCCTGGGCTGCAGCCCCTGGATCACCCGGAGAGGACTGAGAGGAGGGAGGGAGGTAAGCAGGGCCTGTAGGCTAGACCTGAGTCCCGGGGTAGGCACCCCTGGCCTGTCCCAGGTATCCCCATCCCAGACTGAGGAGTCACAAAGATGTCCCAGTTCACATTTAGAACACCATTCTTTATAATGGGCCAACTTGGGCCCAGAGTAGCAGCTACTTGCCCACATCCACACAGAGTACCAGCAGCAAAGTGGGAGTGACCTGGGGGGGTGGGGCTGGAGTGCTGGGATTGGATGCCTCCCCTCCTGGGTTACGTCTACCTAAGGGCACGATGCCCCTGGGCACACTTACAGGATGGGGTCCTCTGGCATCAGGCCAAGTGGCCAGGCATAGATGGTATGGAGTGAGTGAGTGCCTTTCACGCGGGCCAGCTGGCCTCTCAGCAACTCCTTGAACTAATCTCTCTGCTAGAAAGGACATCCCACCAGTCCCGGCTCTGCCACTGATAGGCTGTGTGATTATCTGAAACTTTCTGCCCTGTCTGGGCCTGTTTCCTTGCCTGTACCATGGGGAGATGCACTACCAAGATTCCTAAAAGCTCTGTCCAACAAGTGGGCAGACCCTGTGTCAAGGTGAACCAACCCGAACCAACCCACACTTAAGATACAGAAGCAGGAGCCGCGGGCGGAGCACGGGCTTGCCAGCTATCATCCATTGGCATCATCAGGACGGTGAGGGAACTGAGGCCCACTCCATTCTCCTCGCACTGAGCCATCGCTCTAACTGCCCCAACTCCTTCCAGAAATTCGCTTTCTGCCCTCCCACGCCATGAGTCGCGTCGGCCCTCACTTCCTCGCCCCCTCCCCAGCCGCCCCGGTCCGGCAAAGACGCCCCGCTCCCTCTAGCGGCTGGCGGAGGGCAAAGGGGGCTCCTGACCCCGCGGTCCCACCCACCTCGCCGCGCGGCCCCCATTGGCGGCTACCTCGGGCGGGGGCGGCGGCGCCGTGCTCCCATTGGCTCGTGCGCCCGTCCATCCCGCACTCGCCATGGTGACCACGTTGGGTCCCCCGGGAGAGTTCCAAATTCCGCCCCCGCCCGCCGCCCCCCTCCCGTCCGGTCCCTGCCCGCAGCATTCCGAAGGCGGCCCTGCCCTCCCCCCCAACCCCCGCAGCCCCTCCACACACGAGGTCCGGGACCCCGGGTGGTGGGGGGACCCCGGGGAGGGGGCTAGGAAGTTCTCCTCGGAGTTTGGGGGTTGCTGCGGACGCTGCGCCCCACTCCTTCAGCACGCCCCCAACTTAACCCCTTCCCTCCCGCGGGCTCGGCGTCTGGAGGGAGTTCCCGGGACGCAGTGGCTTGCCGCCCCCTGCACTGCCGCCCCCGCTCACCTCGGCCGGGGACCCGCGGGCTCCGGACGTCCGACCCGCCGCGGCTGGGCGGAGCGGGCACGGGGCT